TTACTTGACCATACAGTCTAGACTATATAAAGTTACTCTACAGTGGGTTAAATAAACAATCTGTTTAATTAAGTTACAACAGGTATCTAGCCCTACTTTATAGATTACGTTACTTGGCCCTACAGTCTAGATTATATAATGTTACTCTACAGTGGGTTAAATAAACAATCTGTTTAATTAAGTTACAACAGGTATCTAGCCCTACTTTATAGATTACGTTACTTGGCCCTACAGTCTAGACTATATAATGTTACTCTACAGTGGGTTAAATAAACAATCTGTTTAATTAAGTTACAACAGGTATCTAACCCTATGTTATAGATTACATCCATTGCTTCTGTGAATTTGAATAAAGTAAATTTAATTAACCAAGTTATATATTAAAAACTTAAGAGATAGAAGAGATAGAAAGAGAATAAATAGGTCGAAGGACAAATAACGAGTCAACAACTTGAAGGACATATAAAAAAACTAAAGAGGACAAGGAGATGCTTGTGTATTATAAAAAATAAACCTTGAGAGATAAGTATCAAGCACAGGGCTAGAACTAGTTTATAACTGCAGTAAGTGACAAGTACGAGGCTAGAACAAGTTTAGAACAACTGTAAGTAACAAACACGAGGCTAGAGCAAGTAAGCATAGCACGTGCCTAAACTTTGAAACAAGTATAGAAGTTAGTGGCCGAGGTCACAGTAGAGGCAGTCAACCACCTCGTTAGTCATCACTGTGCTGCATACAAAACGCCAATGTACAAGGACAGGATAGAGGATGTTGTCCTCGATTCTTAGCACTATAAAAGCTACAGAAAAGTTTAGATTTTATGAATCATCACGGTGCTTTGATGCTGTATCAGTTACAGTACATGGATGTAGCAGTACAGGCAAGTAGGCAGCCGGTTAACAGTAGTCGACCATAACTAATAGCTCGAGGGTTTTTGGGTGTGGTGCTGGACCAGTCCAAAACTTGCCTCCAATCAGCCAATAGGAGTACAGCACTACTTGTGGGTGATGCTGTGTCCTATTTAGATGCTCGCCAAGATACAGAGAAATCCTGCTATATAAGCCCATGTCTGGAGCTAGAAAGTCAGATCTCCGGCGAGTTCTGAAGTTGCCAGTCTCCAGCCAGCTCTACAAAGCCAGAACTATGCAATTGAACAACTTAGACTCTGCTAAGAAGGTTCCAACTCTACAGTAAGTATCTCTCTCTCTAGATCAGTTTTTGTACAATATATGTTTTTATTTAGAGTCTTATAAATGTTAATGTTTAAAGTAACGATTAAAGAGTTGGACTATCAAGTGATATGCCTAATCTAA